TCAATTTTTGTGCTAGAAAGATGGTTTAGAGCTTGTTATGACCGGAAGACACTGGCCAACAACTTTACTTAAGAGCATAAGAAAGGTTTAGAAGCTAGTTTTAAAGTTATTTTAGAATTCTGCTGCCTTTAGTTTTTTGAGTATAACTCTGCTTAAAAAAGAGTAAAAGTTATAAAACTAGACTGCTAGTATGTAAAATTATGTATAGAGTAAGTTTACTTAAGAGCACTTACTTGATTTACTTAATAAAATTTTAAGAAATTTTGGTTTTTTGAAAAATTTTTTTTAGAAAAATTTGGTACAAAAGATTTACAGATTAAGTGTGTTTTCTTGTTTCTATTATTTTAATTCTACTAATTAATATTAACAAATTATCTTTATACTTATAAGCTAAATTAATATAAACAAAAAAATAATTTAAAAATATTAAATAATTAATTGTAATTAAAAATAAAGTATATATAGATTATTTTTCATATAATTTTGATATATAAAAAAAGTTTTATATTAAAAATATTAAAAGCAAAAATAAGCTACTAATAAAACTTTTTAATAATATAATCAAAATTTATAAAATTTAAATAGTATATAGATTAAATCTGTATTTTTATATTTGTAAAGTTTTATTTTTATTTTATACAAATACTATCAGTTTAACTTTTATTAATTTTATAGTTATGAATATGATACCTATTGTGAGAGTACAACTAGCCATATATACAATTTTAGATTATCTAATTTAAGAAGTTTGCTTGAAAGTTCTATACTAGTTGCTATATCTGAAATTTTTAGAAGATTTTCTATTTAAACTCTCTAGCTCTATCTTACTAACTGCAAGTATTATACTTTTAAGTAAACTATAACCTTATACTACTCTATTTTGAGAGATATCTAAGCTAATATTTATTACAAACTTTATTATTATAGATCTAGATCTTACTCAAATAAGTTTTACCTTAATATCTCCTAATAAATAGATACTATAATATCTAACTATACTATACTATATTCCAATCTAGCTTGCATATATCTTATTTAATATTTGTATGAACTTAGTTCTCACTATAGCTTTTTATCAAATTAGATTTCTATATTTTCTAAATGATTCATAAAGCAGATTCTTTCAATCTAGTTAGCTACTAAATTAGATTAATATTACTATATTACCTAGTATTACAGACTTACTTATATCTACTTGATCTATATTCTTCATATACAGACCTTTTTATTAGATTAAATATTAACTAGTATAACTATTAAATCTATACTATTTTACCTAATTTAGTATTTCTATTATACAGGTTCTCTATCTGTAGATCCTATCAAGATTTATTTGTATAATATTATATTTCTTTAAACATTGTATTATACTTCCAATATATGATTAATATTGATATAATATAATTTATAAGGTTATAACCCTTAGAAACAGACAGAGTTTACTATAAGTTAGATACAAGGTTTAAGAAATTATTCAAATTGTTGATAATAGAATTTGAACTCCAAATCTATTATATAGTAGTTTAACAACTTTTTAACTATACTAAATTACTGGACCTTTATTTGTAAAGTTTAAATATCTATATTATTTAAAAAATATTTATTTCTAGATATCATAAAGTTTTTTGAGATAAATTAAAATTCTTTATAATAACACAAATATTTAATTTTGATTAGCTAATTTATATAATTTATTATATATAATTTTTTGTATTAAATTTTTAAATATTCATATCTCAATAAATTTTTAACCAATTTTAATAATTTTATTATTGCTAGAATCAGAAAAATCTACTTTACAACTTTATTTAAATATATAAAAATAATTTATCTAATAAAATTTTTAGTAAATTAAAATATATAAAAAATTAGATATCAAGTTTATATAATTTAAACTTATTGTACTTTACCTTTAAGTATTTAGTAACAAATATTTATGAATAAGTATTTATATTTATATATTTAATTCTACTAATCAATATTAATAAATTATCTTTATATTTATAGACTAAATTAATATAAATAAAAAAATAATAATTTGAAGAATATTAGAAAATTAATTATAAATAAATATTTAGTAATAAGTATTTATAAATAAATATTTATATTTATAATTTTAATAAAACTAATTTATTGTAATAAATTATCTTTATACTCATAGACTATTTGAAGAGTATTAGATAATAAATTGTAATGAAGTATTTAGAGATATATATTTATAAATAAATATTTGTATTTATAATTTTAATAAATAATCTTTATACTTACAGACTATTAAAAGGTATTACATAGATATTAATAGTAAAAAAGTATTTAGAGATAAGTATTTATAAATAAGTATTTATAAATAAGTATTTATATTTATAATTTTAATAAAACTGATTAATTGCTAATTCGGTTATGATCAGCACTAATCATATGTTAATTATTATAAAAATTAGGGATAATCGTTATAATAAATTTTATTATAGTGCTAGAATCTGAAACTTGATTACAAAATGGCTAAAAGAGTATGACAAGCCCAGGTTACTTTATTAGAGAAAGGTGTTTTGGATGAAACATTACATTACGGACCATATTCTCATTATTGGTGGAAAACAAATAAGGTTTTTAATGATACATACTTTCCTATTCATGTCAGACAAAAAACTAAGGTTATTTTTAATAATCGGGAGTTTATTATTACTATAGTAGTTGGGCATTCTAACAATCCCTACCTACCCAGTTATACTTGTCAAAGTGATGCTTTTTATACTAAAGTTTCAGTTCACGATCCTAGCACTGCTATTTCCTCTATTTATACCAGTATTTTTAATACCAAAACTCATTATTTAGGTCCACTTATTATAGAATGGACAGATCATGATATCATTTCACAATTGATAATTGATATTCCCTTTTTTCCTTTTTTTTTTAACTTGGGCCAAATTAAAATTTTTGTTTTTGGGATCGGGTCATCTTCTCGAGAAGATTGGAATAGGGGTGGTTCGGGTTATCAATCATCATTAATTCATATGTATGGTAAAAAACAGGGCTTATATATTTTATCTATAGAGGATAATATATGTGAGGTTAAGGTCTATCAAGATTCAGAGTTAAAAAAAGCAGTGGAGAGAGCATCTCCAAATGATGTTGGGAGCATTTTAATATTAATAAATATAGTGGTATACAACTTTTTGGTCTTAACTATATTGTCACTCAACAATTAATAAAACAGTATCGAATTCCTACTTGTAAACCAAATCAATGGAGAGATTTTTCTCTTATTAAAGCTCTTTATAATTATTATGTAAAATGAAGAACACTTTCTAATATTAACTAGTATAATCTTTTTGTTATGTGGCTAGAACAAGAAAGTAATATTATTGAGTTGAATTCTGTACTTATTCCATTATATCCAAAAGATTATATGTTTAATAATTGAGAATTAAATGCAGGGCGATCAATATTTCGCGCTGCTGGTGCTTATGATATAACACCTTGGTCATACACAGAATCAGAGGTATATCATAAAAGTTTTACCCAATTAATACTTATAAAATTATACAATAAAACTTGTTTTTGCTTTATTAAATTAGTATCAATTTTGGACTAATTCTAATACACCAGACCATGATTCCGCAATACTTAAACAATTCTATAAATTTGGACATTTAATAAGTATACCTATCCACATGCCAAATGCAACACATACCTTTTGGAACTCTTTTTCACATGCTTTAAATAATAACAAAAAAACTTTGGATAGAAAACGACGTATTTTATCAATAATTGCTGATGATTTCATCTATAATGAATTAGAAGAAAATTTAGGTGTAAGCTTTTTTTTTTTTTTTTGCAAGTTAATAGCATGCAAAGTAGTGCTTCGATCCTTAATCTAACTAATTCAGATGGATTCGGTAATTCAGATTAAATATGGATATCCAATATCCGTTAATTTTTAGAGGATAGATCTGTATAGAAATGCAAGTAGCTCAACTGGCTTGTATATTATAGCTGTTTTCATAAATTCTGGAACATCTGGCAAAAAATTAACCAACTGAATATTTACTGATTCAATAAGTTTTGATTTAGTAATGATAATTATCAAAATCACTAACTTATTGAATCAGCGAATTTCGGCCGGTCAATTTTTTGCAAATGTCCCAGAATTTATGAAAACAACTGTAATAAAAACTGATCAATTACAGCTGATTTCATAAATTCTGGAACACTTTGAACAATTGGTGATGATCAAATCAATAAGGTTTTGATACCAGCTAACGTTAATAACTTATTAAGATTCAGTAACTTATCGATCCAATTATCAATTTTTCGAAGTGTTCTAGAATTTATGAAAGCAGCTATAATAGAGACGATAAGTCAATTTGCAACTCTAGATCTGTAATATATATATAGGGT